GAGATCCCATGGGCTAGTAAAAGCTACACATTCTGTGGGGATCATTGAATGTCAACGATTAAGTTAAAAACTAGACTAGATCAATCGCCTGGCGTGCGCCATACACTTAACTTCCTGTTACTTCCATTGCGACTGTGGAACGGTTTCTGAGGTTTCTAGGATTCTGCTGAGCAACTTTTGTCCAAATTGTTTTGGGAGTTCTTTTTAGACATGTTTCGTACAGAATCGACATGGTTTAAGGTTTGATAGCAAGCGGGTTTGGACTTTGAGGTAGAATTCCCTTCTGGAATCGGTGACCCCGATTCTGGAAATCAACTAGATTTAAAGAAACCAAAGCCAGATGGAATAGATTCAAAACCTTAGACTTTCCGAGCAGCACTGCACAGCAGGCACCAGCAGGTTCAGCAGTTTTATCGGCTACTTGCTTACCTAACAACGAATGGCTACTTTTTCCGTAAGGTCAGTGGAGTGCTCCAATTTCAGGTACTGCAAGAGAAGCGAGCGCCCAGAGTGCAGTGCCATATGTAGTCCTTCAACTGGACCTAACCTACCTCTCAGATCTCCTAATTGTTGACAGGTCCGCCTGAAGGGTAAATGCTGGTCGAATCTGACATTGTCTGATATTGATGAGCGATCGAATGGGCATTTAGGCGCTTGGTCGTCAATTATGAATCACACTTTCTCTTCTATGGAAGATCAGTCTGGAGGGAATCGAGAGGCACCATGATAGGTGTAAGATTTCCCCCAGAAACGTTTCGAGCCTAGGTTCTCTAGGAGCTTGTCCCTATAATGAGAAGTCACAGAGTCTCTCACTGAATCTAACAAACCTCCTTGTGAAGGTGAAACGTTTCTATAATTAATAGAGTCAGCTGATCTTCTGCAACTGTCTTGGAAGCATGTTTGATAGCAACAGTGATACCCTCCTGGATGGTCCAGCAACAGTTCCAAGGCCCAGAATCTGAGAGCGTTGCCGAGACTGTCGATGGGACCTGTTGGCTGAGCGGCGACTTGGCGACCTTACCAACCCCGACAGCGCTGACCGAGCAGGTGGTGCTGACGATGATGGACCTCAGTCGACGTTGTGTGTGGGCGTGGCATGGTGTGGTTGTGGTACGCGCGCGCGGGCTGCTCTGTGTGTTCGTTCGTATCGCCCCCGACGCCGCAGCAGCCATCGCCTCGAATGCGCCGGCCGGCCGGCCGTCTCGACCATCCCGTGCCCGCCGTCATCGCCGCTCCAGGCACACAGGCACATCTGTACCGTTATCGATCTGCTTTCTGAACGATCTACCGTAATTGGAGTTCCTTTCTGTCTGTGGAATCCAGGAAAGTCTCCTTTCACCCAAACCAGAAGATGAACCCTGTGGAGATTTCTTAAAATCCAGCTGTTCCTCTGAGGTAGTGTGGTTTGAGAGGGTGCTCAGGTAAGGGCTGGGAATGAACACTGACTGTAAGTTGCCCCTCAGCCCGAAAAGTTCGTCTTTGCCAGCTACTACTCTATTAGGAACGGGAGATTTGAACGTCTCCGTCGAAGCACTCGCTGCATTGCGACTCCTGCTTGCTCCCCCTCCTACTTCTGTGCCGTTTTCAAACCATTGTCTGCTTGCCGCCGTTGCCGCTCGTCATTTGCCCTTCTCACATCGGTTATCGTCTCGACGGCCCGTCGTCGGCTGCGGCTGCGCTCGTTCGTAGCGCTGTCGTCGGCACGGGTCATGCGTTGTGCTGGCCTAGCCATCCCCACCAAACACCACACGCCCACCCAGTCTGCCATCAGCAGACATGCTCTCCAAGTCGATACTGTCCACCTTGGACCAGTGCCAGTCGCTTTTCACATCTATCCCTTTTTGTTTTTTTCGTTTTTTCTCCACATCTGAAGAACCTCTGGCTCTTTATGTGGTTTACTTTGGCTGTTGCCCATTTTTCTTGAGACTCTTTTGACCTTCGATCCTAGATCAAATATGGAATGTAAACATAAATACCTAGACTGACTTTGGCTACAATTAGACCCTGTGGTTGGGTACTTACAGCTTTCATATTTGTGCCCATTCTTGTGATTAACTTTTTTGAAGCCTCCGTAGTCCAGAAAGAAGTTCTGCCTTACTTTTTCGCTTGAGTCAATTAACCTAAAGAGCAGAGGCAGTGAAGGATTACAAGGAGCATGTGAATGCAGGTAGTATCTGTGGGTAAATAGGTTTTATTCAGTCATGAAGAGGATAGTCTACCCTATAGCCTAGAAGGTAATCCAAATTCTCGCCCCATATGATCCCTTTTGATATGCTAATAATGATCGCGATGACGGAGGTCTGTCCTCAAGTACTGCCGCTTGTCAATGGGAATTTGCCAGAAGGATCAAATCCACTTGTCTAGGTCGAGTATGTGTTGTAGTTAGGATTTTTGGGAGATTTCGAGAAGAAAACTGTTGGATGTGAAAACGTCCCCTTCCGCTTTCCGGTTTCCGAATAGAGGATTGAAACTTTGACTACGAGTTGCTTTACCCCCCTGCGTTGGACCCAAACATTCTCGATTTCACCTGCTCATCTCCAAACCAGCGGCTTAGCAGGTGACATAGTTACGGTTCAAGGGATAGAGGGGTGATTCACTTTGTAGTAACCCAGCCTTCCGTTCTTTCATGGAAATTGGTGCCTTTTTGCAGCTTCGGGTAGCTGTTCTTCTTTCCCGAGAACTGACTTCCACTGTTGGATAGATCCCTTCTTCACCTTCCGGGCCCCAAGAACGGGTTATGGGTTTTCAGGGTTTCATTGCTTCTAGGGGAATTGAATAACCATAAGGGCGACTTAAATGTGATCTATATAAAGGGTTCTCTTATGTCAACACATGGATGACGTTTACAGTGATTGATTTCTATTGCCACACTTTCACCTGATATCTATCGGTTGTACATATACCTTTAATCGTTACTTATTGATCTAAAAGTATTGTTTTCAGTGAAAATATTCCGCATGCAACTGGTCCCCTGCCTGCTGTGCTGTCCGAGCAGCAGTGTGGAAACATCAGAGTGCATCGACGAGAAGAAAGCGGAATGTGCGACAGCAGCGGCGCCGGCAACGGCCGAGGCGGAGAACACGCAGAACGTGACGAAGAACGAGCTCAACGGCCACGCGGCCAATGACGATGTGTCCGATGTGACGACGTCAACGAAACTGGATGACAGGGATTGTTCCTATGAACAGGGAGAAGGAATTAGGTAACAATTTTCGTAGTGGACAACAATTACAAGAAGAACCTAGCACAATGGGCGGGGCCTAGGGGAAGCATGGTGGTGGTGGAAATGGTGTAGATAAAGTGGTGCTTAACTGCAAACATGCATAATTAGATAGTTGTTCGGAGACAATAAGGCTGGTGGCAGACTGTGGGTAACGGGGAAGGGTTAGAGTTACCCCAAAAATCTACGCCAATGATTAGCGATCTCCTTGAGTACTACTCCTTACTCAACGGAGCAGATCAGGGGCATCTTTTTGTTCGAATTGATGGAGTAGCAGTAAATGCATGGATAACGATTTCTCGAAAGACGCCTTGCACTCGATTTACACCAATATTCGAAGTTTTTGAAAGGGGTCGCGTAGGAATGGAGTATAGAGAGCTATTACCCGAATCCTTGTCACTACTCTGCCAGGCTAATGTATGGATGTATTGCGGTTTTCGCGGTGGATCAGCTTGGCTGAATTGACCAAAGCTTCACTGTTGTATAGATCCGTCTTTTCATATTTCGAAGGAAAATGTCCGCTAGGCCAAGCCAAAGGCTTTTATAGTCACTAAATGAGATGTATTGAAACGTTTGGTAGGTGCAGTATTAGATCTCTTGGATCGTACGTTCGACAACTACCCAACCCCTCGTCCTTTGTCGAGATAGGCATTAATTACGGAATGGCTCTGTGGTTGAGCTAATTTCAAGGCGATCTTCAATTCCTAGCAGAGGACAATTCTAAAAGTGCGACAGGCTTCGGGCGATTCATCCTACATCAACGGTCTAGGCCTTCTAGTTCCTCTACACGGTTGCACGAAATGAATTTATCAGCACCAACCAGCCTATCAGTTTCACCGCCTTTCGGGCTCCATTTGGAACTGTAGAGTTTCCGTGTCCAATAGTTCTGTTGTAAGATATGTGGGGGATTTCAGCAGTAGTTCTTTCGTTGGATTGTCCTGGTTGTCAGATTCCAAGTGTTCTATGGGGAGCAGAAAGTGATCGCGCGAATTCGTCGTATGCGGCGTAGAAGCACACTGGCGATCCCTGTGCCGTTTGGCTTACCCTCGCGGGCCTCCCTCGTAATGAATGTCCATCCTTGTCTCACATATGCATGGCCAGTTCCCTAAAATTAAGCACGTTCCCAATGGGAAGTTCGTGCAGCTTGAATTATTGGGTTGTCCGGAAAGTTCCCGCCGATTTTTTATTCATCTTTGAATGAAAATTCCTAGAAGAAGAAATACATTGATTGAACAATACACCCTCCATTCTGTTAAGTAAGGCTTCGCCATCTTCCTGCAGGTTCCAGTTCCCC